GAATACATTGCTTTTTTTGTTGTTGCAAAATCCAACGATCTGCAGTTCCTCCAAAATCCTGCTATGAAGATACAAATCCAGCTTTTAAAACCTTAAAGGTGTCTGAACTGTTGTGACATGATTGCAACTTGAGCATCATTCTCTACCTAGCAAAGCCTGTCTTAGGACCAAGATGGGTGTTTAAAAGCCAGTGTCCACATAACTCAATTTAATAACTTTGTGGGTTGAAATGTAATCTAGCCGTAGAGTCTACAGTGTCACTAGCAGTAGGATGACTTAATGGGCAGGGTTTTAAAAGCGGCAGGAAATGTTAATTTTTTTGTCCTGCAACTTTATACCTGAATTTCTCTGCAATTTTTAAAACTTTCAGTAACAGCGATCCTCAAACTTCTCTTAAGTAGTTTTATTTAAATACAGTAATGTATATTCTAAGCAAATTGTCTCTGCCTTACATGATGAAGAAAACAAAGTTCTCTATCGATAGGGGCTGGGCAGCAACTAAGTCAGAAGATCTATCAGAAGAGACAGAAGTACTATGAAAGAAGTTTCTGTGGGATAGAATGTACATTCATTTTCCTTATACAGTAGTACTACTTTAACATGTTTTTGATTAACAAAAACCTTACATATTTATCAGAGGCAAAAGTGGATTCTTTCAAACCATTTTCAGAGTTTTTTGGGTGTGTGTGTGTGTGAAATTAATTGATTTATGACATTTGGATTAGAAAATGAACGGCCGTCCTCCCCACCAAGAACACTTACCTTTATGCAAACTGGATATGCACCCAGGATGCTTCAGAATTCAGGATTGTGTTCCTTCCTTGTTCAACCCAATTTTCACAGAATGTCCGCTCACTCTCCAGGAGACAGTTCATCACTGCATACTGCATTCTGTGGCTTGGTTTGAATATGGACGTCTGTAATGCCAAATGCAGTAAAACTAGATTGCATGTCTCTTGTAAGAAAGAGTCTGTAGCAGCAAGCCAAAGTGCACTAGAACAAAACAGTAGCCAGTTGTGTTACACAAACCAGGTAAATCTTCAGTTAATGTGAATATAGTAGGAAAAAAACACAACTTTTAAAACTCAAGCTGGAAAAGACTGCCATCAAGAAAGTAAAATGTAGATTATGACGGACAAATATTGTAACATATATTGAGTCAGGTGGAGTGGCTTTATGTGTTGTTGGAAAGTAAGGTCTTTCAGCTTTGACCAGAAACCAAGACTTGAAAAACCAATGAAGACATTCTGCATAAGTTGTCCTTCTAGTAATTAGGGTGACAAAGGATTCTAACACAGAGTCTCTATTGCTAATGAATGAACCCTAAATTTCAAATCTGAAAAGAACCTACATATATTACTTCTTTTTAAATGGCTTCTATTTTATACTTAACACCTGAATGGTGTTAAGTGGATTCATTTTATTTATAAGATTTTTAGCCACACCATTACCAGTGGTCACTGAGTGGCATTGTTGTTTAGTCGGTGAGTCGTGTCCAACTCTTCGTGACTCCATGGACCAGAGCACGTCAGGCCCTCCTGTCTTCCACGGCCTCCTGGAGTTTGGTCAAAGTCATACGAGCAGCGTACAACAGTATTAAAACTTTTAAAACATTTTGCAGTGGAAGACACACCTGTGTGTGCTAAAATGTGATTACAGACTGGATGACCAATTCTATGTGTGTCTGTTGTTTTGTAATTAGTAGGGTAGGAGCTTCCTATGGACATGAGCAAGTTATAGTACCTAGAAAATATTAACATTCAGGATTAGAGAATCTGGCAGTTCTTGGGTTCCTATGTAAACTTCAGATAACTGACACATGATTGAACTTCCACAGCCATTTGATAACTCACTGTTTTGTTTCCTTCTTTAACTTGCTAGTGGACATAGCAAAGTGGAGGAGGGGGAATTAAACTTTCTTAATATATAACACCATGTTATACAGAAAGAGTAAAAGTGGTTGGTAGTTACAAAGTAATTAATATATTTCAATGATTGATATACCTACAGTTGGTTGGAACGCGTAGGACCCCACTCCATGTACCTTCCAACAAGCCAATCAATTCATAAATCTAAGGTAAAGATCTTGTATTAACAGTTACCAGAACATCATGTGAGCACCTAGATTATGTGGGGTGATTTACCACTCTTTAGCATCTGACATTCTGAAAGCATGGCTGCTGCCATCTAAGTCAATGTTCAGATTACTCTTCACTAGTCCTTCCCCATTTCTTTTCTATCCTTTTACCGTTTCCTATTTTGTGTTATTTCAGGAACAGAATTTCAGAATTTTTTTTAAACAAAACTTTATTGGTAATAGTCTCAAATAAGTTTACAACAAAGCACACTGTTAAAGAGGAAGTAGGGTTTGTTTGTTTTCTCAGTGAAACAAGTTTGCTGGATTACACAGAAGTGTTTTGTTTTGTTTTCCCTCGAGGCAGGGAGCTGATGGGTATTCAACTCCTCTTCTCCTCAACCCAACCCAGAGGGAGCTGATGAGCTTCTTGGTGGGAAGATAATGGTGAAGAGTTGGGAGGACAAGACAAGCTTGTCAGCTCCTGACAGCGCTTCGGTACATGTTATTTAATTCCTCTGTCAGTCCAAAGAAGCCTGCTCTGCTCCCCAGCCACGGAAAAGAGAACTGAAGAAACTGAACTGGTGAGTACAGAAATAGTGTGGCTGGATAGCGGTAGGTGAAGACAGAACACAAAGAGGCATTGCATTAGGAAGGAAAGGGGAAGTCAGAACAAATCCAGGGAGAAAAATGAGCTGCCCTTCCTGAACACCCCTGGAGTCACAGCTCTCTCCACATCCATGTATCAGAGAAGACTCTAAACTGATGCTACCTCTTGTTCCCAAAGGGAACTGCAGATAAAAAAGGGCCATCTCCTTTGTCAGCATTGTTTTTAAACCTTGCTCCTCTCAGAGCAAAGCTAAGCCTTTCATTCACCCCTTATTGTCCTGGGATACAAACACAGAAGGTGGATGGAACACTTAGTGGCAAGAGTCATGGGGACAAAGGGACTAGAAAGATGCCAGCAGCTAAGGTTTGGGATGGTCTGAATAAGGTCAGATGTCTAATAACCCTCAACTCTTCCTGTATTGTTCCCCATTGACCGATACCCCTTTGGGTAGTGGCATTTAGCGACTATCTGAAGCAGTGGAGGTGGACTTAAGAGGCATTTTAAATGGTGGGGGCAAGGAAACAGAATGGGTATATGCAGACAAATTCAGACAGGATTCCTTCTCTTGAAATTCCTGCTCCGGTTGGCAACTGTTCATTCCTTCACCCTTCTGCACCTGGGAATATTATTGCCTCCCTTTTTGAAGCCAGGGGGCAAAGACAAAAATAAAGTGTATTTTCTATCAAAAAAACCAACAACCCAACCCCAATTTCGTCATGCTAAAACCCAGCTGTTTTTACAGAGTTAAAATTCATGCTGAATTTTATTTTAACTGTGCAGGAAACTGAGCATATAAAAGCACTGTCCCGCCTAGACTGTTAAAACCTTTTTTTTAAAGCCAGTCAACTATTTCTTTAAACTTTTTTCTTTAAAGTTAATAAAAGGAGGCAGCCAGATGGGGATATTGATAAAACGATGGGATTGTCCCAGAGGGGGAGGGGTGAAGGTTTGACCATTAACCCATGGAGTGCTGGCCTACACACCAAAGTGCAGCATGGATGTGTTGACTTCTTCCCCTCCCCCTTTGATTTTTGTTTGTTTGCAATGCCCCATGAACCAAACCTCTACAGGTGGTGACAAATGGCAAAAGATCCCCTTCTTTATTTAAAAAAAAAAGCACCACCAATAAACCAGGGACTCTGATTAGGATTTGTGTATGGGTTGGAGTCAGTGTGAAGAGGAAGGGAATTTGTTTAAAACCTGCCCAAGAGTGGCTGGGAGCCACACTGTAGCCTGCGGTGGGAGGCAGATGGATGGTATCAGGACGACAGCCTTTCCCACAGCTTCAGAATGAACTCCCTTTTCGTTCTTCTGCCCAAACAGTTCCAGGTGAACCCCAACACTCTCCCACCTCCCAAAATTAACATATAGGCAAGGAATTCTGGCCATTTGGCTGATCAAATCCAGCCCATCCATTTCCTGGGCACACAAAGCAAGTGGGGAGAGGACTGGCCCTAAAATTCTGCAAACTCCTTGGCGCACTTCTCCGTGACGGATACTCGGATTTCCTCTTCTTCATAGTCATCAAAGTTACTTGTGTCACCTGGGCCTTTGCACTTTGGTATAAAGGGTGCTTCCACCTATGGGAGGAAAGAGAGTGAGGGATTATTACGGGCTAAGGCTCCACAAACTGAAATGAGAAGGCCTATTAGACCATTAACTGTGAAATTGGACTTGGTCTCACTGATATAATCAAGTGGGTGGACAACACAAGATTCCTGATCACTATGATGCCATGGGCACAGCTCCATCCATTGCATTGGCAATGACAGCTATCCCAACAACCTCTCTGAGTAATAACTCTCCTATTCATCTGGGTTCAATAGGTGGCTAAAAGAGATGTGCACATTCATTTAACACAAACTTGCTCTTTTTTGGTTGTCAAGTCAATTCTGATGCAATACGCAGATGTGGGTGCCCTGGGACTTTGCAGGTTGCCCAAGGCCTCACAGGCTGGCTCTACATACCTATAAAACAGATTTTTAAAGCTGATTTGTGGAGAGGAGAGCAAAAGGTGTGCTTCCTGTTAACTAACCCTCCACAGTCAACTACTTTAAAACTGTTTTTCCTTCAGGTTAGCTCTCTTCTATTACCTTCGCTTGTCTAGGGAGAAACTGCTTCAAACATCTAAGTTTTAAGCAGACAAGGTGAAGGAGGGAGTTGATTTTATGATAATTTTCTCTCACACTCCACCTGTGATTTGCAGGTAAACAGGCATGACCATGTCTTCTATCCTTATCAGATGCAAATATCTATACTGGGCTGTCACTTCCTTTCTCCAGTTTATGTTGATCCCAAGCCTCAACATTTTTCATTTCCAGAACTGTCTTCATGTTGGTTACAAGCAGCACAGAAACCAGGAGTAGGAAGTGTCTGGCATTCCTTGTGGTGGTGGACTACAACTTTCATTATTCCTAACCACTGACTACGTTGTCAAGGACTGATGGAAGCACAAGTCCTATACCATCTGGAGAATGACACATTCCCTACCCTGGCTTAAACCACAAGACACAACCTACTACTTTGGCACCCTGATGCCACCAACTCCTGCCAGTGCATATCTAATAGGCAGGAGCTATTCAATGTGATAACTATGACCAGAGACATAGCAGTGTCTGAAAGCAGATCCTTTTCATAATGATCTCAACACCAAAAGACCTGCTTCAGTGTAATACACTGCTGAGGTATGGTAGTGCAACTGCAGACCTAGTAAGGGTATATGCAATTTTCCCTAGGCACAGAGACCATCTTTGCATGAGCTGGGAGTCGATGGGAGAATAACTGTTCATACCACTTCTGGTGCAGGGTACTGTTTGTATTTATGCTGCTCTGGATTTCATGGTTCAAGAAAAGCTGTTACGCTTTTCCTTGACTGTGCATATGTAGTACCAGGCATTGGTGTTATAGTTTAGTGGCAGTTTAGGACTGACAATCTCTATTACTGTAGTGATCCTATACCCTGCTATGGCTGCTCACCTTCCGTTGATAGATGGCAATCCAATCAGTGGTAGCAAACCACTTGTGATTCTTGATATCATTGACTCCATTCTTGAGGTTGCCAAAGCGTTTAGTGAGGTCTACCTGGAGCAAGTTGCGCAACAGGTCCTTCAGGTCTGAGCTGAAGTGAGATGGGAAGCGAACCTGGAAGCAAAGTCAACAAGTTATCCTTTTTATCTCTGAGGGAAATCTGAAAGCCACAGCTAGAGAGAGACCAAGCATGATTCATTCTGTCCAATAGTCAAAGCCACCCATGAATAGCAACAACAACATTTACCACTTACTTGGGATCCCACACTAGTTATCTGTTGCATCATGCACAGTCCAAGGGATTAATGAGTTTAGTCTTACAAGAAACTCTGCCCATCATGAATTCAAGAAACAAATAAGTACAGACTTTATTTTTGCTGACCACTCTTGATGAAAGAGGGGCACATGGAATACTTGTAGTGACTAACAGCAAACATGCCTTTTTCTCTTGTCCAAAGCTTCTCCAACCACTCTGCATCTCACAACTTTACAACTTGCTAGTACACTACATGGGAAGAAAGTGATGACAAACCTAGACAACATCTTAAAAAGCAGAGACATCATCTTGCCAACAAAGGTCCACATAGTCAAAGCTATGGTTTTTCCAGCAGCGATGTATGGAAGTGAGAGCTGGACCATAAAGAAGGATGGCTGCCAAAGAATTGATGCCTTTGAATTGTGGTGCTGGAGGAGACTCTTGAGAGTCCCCTGGACTGCAAAGAGAACAAACTTATCCATTTTGAAGGAAATCAACGCTGAGTGCTCACTGGAAGGACAGATCCTGAAGCTGAGGCTCCAATACTTTGGCCATCTCATGAGAAGAGAAGACTCCCTGGAAAAGTCCCTGATGTTGGGAAAGTGTGAAGGCAAGAGAAGGGGACAACAGAGGACGAGATGGTTGGACCATGTCATTGAAGCTACCAACATGAATTTGACCCAACTCTGGGAGGCAGTGGAAGACAGGAGGGCCTGGCATGCTCTGGTCCATGAGGTCACGAAGAGTCGGACATGACTTAACGACTAAACAACAAAGTACACTACATGAGTTCCATCCCTTCAGCCTGACCATTCAGTAACTTGCTTTACTTTGGACCTGGGCACAACGTAGACTGAGGTTTAATGTAGAGCTTTAGGCAAGTTGCAGTTGACCAACAAGGATTTCTGACTCCTAGTTGTTTAACAACATCAAAAGGACTCTTCCCCTGCCAAATTATACTGCTGAAGTAGGTTACCCAATTATACTCCAAAGTAATCAGGAGCAGATCTGGTGTGAAAAGACTGTGGGCTCTCTTCAGTACAGAACTGAATTACTCTTAATCTTGTTTTAAGTACTAGTTGGCTACTTGTACGCTAATTCCATTATTCTCTTGATCAGCATATGAAATCTTGTCCTACAGTGAGATCTAACCATTCCCAATGGATAATCATTATCCATTTTGTTCAAGAATCTGTGCTGTGTCACCACTGTGACCGACCATTTTTAATCTATTCCTAATCTATTTTTAATCCATCATTTAATCCAACTGTAACCCAACTCCCGCCTTATAAAAGGTGTATAAAGATGTCTGTTTCCCTCTGAAAAGAAAAAAAGGTGACTTGATTTTTAAAATGTTCACTATCAATGTCCCCTCATCTCTGCTGCGCAGGAGCCTCACCTGTCTGCACTGGGGGGGGGGGGTGTTATCCAAAACCTGGAAGTAAACAGGCATCGATCCCGGCTGCCACTGTGTGGCACCAATGGAGCTCTGTGCCCCTGTTCATCTTGGAAGGAATGTTGTTCACTATGATAGTCTGATATTTATTTAAAATATTTATATATCCCACATTTCCTCCAAGGAACTGAAAACAACTAATCCTTACCCCAACCCTTGGCTTTTGTTATCCAGTAAATTGGTGATTTGGACATAAATCCAACATTCTGAACAGCTTTCCTCAATTTGGTGTCCTATAGTTGCTTCAAGTCTACAATTTCCAGAATCCCTTGTTGGATAGGCAGGGAAATTCTTGTGGTTATAATTGAAACACATTTGAAGAGAACCAGGTTGGGGAAGAACGCTTTAAGCACTAGCTAGGTTGAGCTTTTTGATGGATCACGCCATCATAAAACAACACTGTAGCAATTTTTATACTCATCCAACTAACTTAATAATTCCACTGGCCCAAGTGGGTTACTAGCCACTCTAAAAGAAAATCAGGAACTATTTCAACAATGTAGGACAAATCCTTCAATGAAGGACAATAGCAAGGACCCATATATCACACCAGGAACAGGTTTGTTCATGTACAACTCTTGTACTACCCTGTTTCCCTGAAAATAAGACCTAACCTAAAAATAAGCCCTAGTATTCAGGATGTTCGTAATATAAGCCCTACCCCAAAAATAAGCTCCAGTTCAGTGAAACTCCACCCTCCACCACTGTACAGCAACCAGAAGATGACATGACTGTATTTGAATAAACGTAGATTGTTGTACATGAAAAAAATAAAATATCCTCTGAAAAATAAGCCCTGTGTTTTTTGGAGCAAAAATTAATAGAGGGCCCTGTCTTATTTTTGGGGAAACACGGTAGTGTTCTTCTCTTTGTTACTGGGTGGAAGTAGAGGGAAGATGTTCTTCCGATGTCTACTTTTTTTGAAGGGTGGATTCCTGGTGATTTGCCAACGTTTACATATAGATTGTCTTCTATCCTGCCTCAGTCCTTATGGTCACAATACATATTTAGGGAGTTTATAATCGTCTCAAAAACTTGGAAGTGACAGTCAGTGTGAGCTGCATGCTATCCCCTCCACTCTGTTGTTACCATATTTAGTCTTCAACCTTTATGAAGCCACTTTGAAGTTTCTGGTCATTTTAAGAATCCCTTGTGCTGCTTGGCTTAAAATTGCCTATGTCTTTTTAGGGGACTTAATGGAAATGGGCTGACTTCAAGGTTTTTGTTTTTTTTTTGGAGACTGGGCTACGATAACATTACTCCCAGAATAATTCAAATTCCATCGTGTCAGTAGAATCTGATCTCACCCCGGGGGTCAGAGGGGGTGAAATCGCCACCTTTAGGGACTCTTCTGAGGCTTCCCAAGCCTCAAAAGAGTCCCAGAAGGTGGTGATTTCGCCCCCTCTGGCCTGGGCGGGCAGGGTGAGCCTCCAAAGGGTCCTAGGGTGTGTTCCAGGACCCTTTAGAGACTCACCCTGTCCCCCCGGGGGTCAGAGGGGGTGAAATCGCCACCTTTAGGGACTCTTCTGAGGCTTCCCAAGCCTCAAAAGAGTCCCAGAAGGTGGCAGTGTTGCCCCCTCTGGCCCGGTGGGGGGGGGCAAGGTGAACCTCCAAAGGGTCTTAGGGTGTGTTCCAGGACCCTTTAGAGACTCACCCTGTCCCCCCGGGGGCCAGAGGTAGCGAAATTGCCACCTTCAGGGACTCTTCTGAAGCTTGCCAAGCCTCAAAAGAGTCCCAGAAGGTGGCAATTTCGCCCCCGCTGGCCCCGTGAGGGGTTAGGGGAAGCATCGCAAGGGTCCTGGAAGGCTCACTCAGACCCTTGGGAGGCTCCCCCCCGAGGCCACCTTCGCTCCATAAGACACACAGACTTCCCACACACAATTTTTGGGGGGGAAAAGTGCGTCTTATGGAGCAAAAATACGGTACTACATGACTACAGTGTTAAAGATTATTTAAAATATGATGGAAGTTGTGGATCAATATGGAGACAAAGCTCATGTTTTCCCATTTTCTCATAAGGAAGTAAGATGCTACACATAAAAAGCAACCTTGAAGTTTTCTAGATCTGTTGTTACAATGGTGGGAGCAATGAGTGATGCCAACAGGGACATTTTTTGGGTTTCCATTCATAGATTGCTGAATTACACAAATATTCACCTGGCATGTAAAGAGCATGTCTGTGCTTCATTAAATGTTGGAAATGTGCACAGTGAAACAAACTCACTGAAGAGATATAGTAGCAATATCTGGTGTGTGCTCAAGGCAAGGAATGCATTTTTCTTCACACAAAAGATGGCCATCACCATCTGATGACTTACAATGATCATATCTCTGCAAGCCTATCAGCCAGAGCATTACCTTTCCAGAGACAATTTTCTCATAGATCTGAATGGGCTGGTCTGCAAAGAATGGGGGGTAGCCAGCGGCCATCTCATAGATGAGGACACCTAGGGCCCACCAGTCCACAGCCTTGTTATAACCCTGCAAATAGGAAAGAAGGCTCAGGTCACAAACACCACAGAGGGGCACAAAACGGCAGAGGGTCTTTGAGCTCCCCTGACCCCCAGAGCAACTCAAGGTAGGATACACTGTCCCCAAGTACAAACGATTCACCTTGCTCAGAATGATTTCTGGCGCCAGATATTCTGGTGTCCCACAAAGGGTCCAGGTTCGGCCTTTCACTCGTTTGGCAAAGCCAAAATCTGTCACCTGGGGAGAAGAGGAAGAACAAAGGAGGTTTTGTCAGCAGTACAAAAGAAGCAGTGGGTGATCCGCTCCAACCACAAAGCCGAGCACAGACAAGCGACTACATTTAGGGTGGGAAATCTAGAACAGAGAAGGGAAACTTCTCTTTCAAAGATCAATTACTGTGATCATTTTTGAACAGGTTTATTTTCCAGGGATATGAAAAGTGTAATTTTTGACAATTTGGAACACATTTGATTCTTTTTTTTAAAAAAAAAAGGTTATTTTTTTAAAAGTGACACACTTCCTGTACATTTACATAAATGATAAAATGCTATCCCCTACTCTCATTTCATGTGTGTGCGCATCGTAATCCCATCATTTTCATTACTAATTACTTAAGCTTGGCAAGCCCCAGTTGTTTCTATGCGTAAACACACTGATCACTGTAGATGTTCAGGGAAAGGAAGTACATGTTGTGCCCAAAGCACACAGATAGGGACAGACACTCCTATGACACTGGGCTGCAGGATCCCAAGGAATGGATAGAAGTGGTATTACCTCAATGTAGCCCTGCTGGTCGATGAGGAGGTTCTCAGGCTTCAAGTCTCGATAGATGAGATCTAGTGAGTGCAGGTACTCAAAAGTCAGCACAATCTGAGCAGCGTAGAACCGGGCATGAGGTTCACTGTGAAAAAGGGGGGAGGGGGAGAGGGGAACTGTTCTCAAAAGCTACCTTCAACCAATGTGACCTTCAAACTACGCCCTGCCCCATGATCTAGTACCAATGAGTCAGCCACGCCTCTCCTTGCATTCAGTATACCCTTGAGCCTTCAAGTAAAATTGTCTTCCTCCAATCTGATGCTCTCTAGATGACTGGAAATGCAATTCCCATCATTTCCAGCCAGTATGGCCAATTGCAAGAGATACCGGATGCTGTATTCCAAAGCAACTGGATGGTGCCAGGTTGGAGATGGCTGAACTGGACATCCAATCACATACTTTATCTCCATTATTCTCCCTCCATCCCCAACATGACAGACAGAACAACTCTGGGCAATGCAAGCAGAGGGACCTTTGCTTCTTCTGACCCTTTCCAATCAATAATGAGGGCACCCGTCCCAGCCAGTAATCCCTTGGAGGGATGCACTCAACTTCTGTGGACCCATCAGGTCCAGTCACTTGCCCATCAATGTTAAGGACAAGCAGCTAGGGCCAATGCCATCATCGCTGCACGGAAAGGGCTGGCCCGTTCCTTTCACTTACCACTTGCATACTCGGGAGCAAAAGTGTTACTCTGATGTACTAACTTAGGCAGGAATTGCAGGCGTGCCTTTCAACATAGAAAGAGCCCCCAAAGCTATTTACAGTTTTTAAGATGACTTAAACACTTTACAAGAGAAAAGGCAAACTTAAAAATGGGGAATAGAATTAGAATGTTTTAAATTACTTAAAGGCAAAGGAGAACAAAATAGGACCTAGTGAAACTAAACAAGAAGGGAGAGACTTCCACATCTGAAGTATAATTGCAGTGAAGCTCCTGACTTGTACTCCCACTAAACCAGCCTCTCCTGAAGGTGAGGTATACAACAGCACCTCCAAAGCAGATCTTAATCTACCAACACACTTATACAGGAAGAGACTGTATTTTGGACAACCTGGCTTCAAACCATTTAAAGATTCATGGGGGGGGGCTGGGAAGTAGTATCTTGAAATGAGCCCAGAAACAAACTGCAGCTCATGCAGTTGATATAAAGCTGGTATAATATGGCCAACACAATGCAAGCTAGAATGCAATCTGTCCACCATCGTTTGCATTAGCTGCAATTTCTGGACAGTTTTCAAGGGCAGTTCCACATACAGTATGCTACAGGAAGGTTAAAGGTAAAGGTTCCCCTTGACAATTTTTTGTCCAGTCGTGTTTGACTCTAGGGGGCAGTGCTTATCCCTGTATTCAAGCCATAGAGGCAGCGTTTGTCCAAAGACAATTTTCCGTGGTCACATGGCCAGTTCAACTTAGACATGGAACGCTGTTACCTTCCCACCGAGGTGGTCCCTATTTATCTACTCGCATTTGCATGCTTTCAAACCGCTAGGTTGGCAGGAGCTGGGACAAGCGACGGGCGCTCACTCTGTCACGTGGATTCAATCTTACGACTGCTGGTCATCTGACCCTGCAGCACAGAGGCTTCTGTGGTTTAATCCACAGCGCCACCACATCCCAGGAAACTAAGTGTTAAAAGCAAACACAGCTTCTTATACATTCTTCTTCAAACTGTCTAATGTCCATGGTGGTAGCCAGTAGGGCTGGCTAAGACTGTAGAACAGTTCACCCACTCAATCTTAAGCACTTTTACAAGAGAAAAAGGACATCTCTTGCTTCCTAATCCAATCCCTATGCTTTAACTCACCTGGGAGGAGCATGGGAAATCCAACAGCTAGCTGTTCTGTTCCCATAATAAGAGTACTGTCCTGAAGTTATAGGGATAGAGAATACACTAACCTGAACCTGCCAATCCGTCGTAGGTGGGAGAACATCTCACCACCTGGGATGTATTCCATGACCATGTACAGATTCGTGTTATCCTACAAAAAAAGTGCAGAAAGAAGCAAGAGGCAAAGAGTGTGTAGGCAGAAGGTCACAACTTCCTCATTTACAAAATGCTTTCTATTCTATACAAATACTCAAGCTACACAAATGTGCTCCCAAATAAATCCACAGATGTACTCTAGAAAACATATCAGGGCAATTGGGAGTGGGGAGGGATTCTCGTGTCTGATACAGAATTCACTATTTCATGTTATTTTGTCTATTGTAATATTTTATACTGTGTATCTATTGTAGCATATCCTACTTAAATACTGTGTATAAAATCTGGGTTTACAGTACATGTCCTTTAAATTTCCTTTAAAAATTGAAGCAAATCTCGTATCTTTATAACTGGGGGGGGGGTGCAGAGTGGAGACTGCAAAACATTTACACTGATTATGGACCAGAGGTAGCTAAGGAACAAGTTGCAATGGTTCAGAGTACAATGCTTTGTTTCTTCTCCACTTTGTTTCTTCTCCGCTGATCTTCTATTGCTGCCTTGTCCAATAAATTCAAGCGCTGTATAACTCAATGACAAATGTGTATAAATCCCTCTTTCTGCCCATCTTTATTTATTTGTATCTGTTTCTTTGACAAAGTTGATCTAATAGTGGACAGGGCATTGTGTTTAGTTCTGTGTTCTGCACAATATCCCATCCTGCCACAAGACTTCTGCAGTCGCTTAAAAATGCCTCTAAAAGGTGCATTATAAATTACTAAAATAAATTTAAATATCTATCAGTCTTATAAGTTGCTCTTACTAAAATGGGATGAACTTTGAATGTAGTTAGGTATCTAACAGTAAAGCTAAATCATAAGCATATACAGTGGTGCCTTGCAAGACGATGTTAATTTGTTCTGCGAAATTGCTGTTAAGCGAAAACATCGTCTTGCGAAACACGTTTTCCCATTGAAATGCATTGAAAACCTGATAATCTGTTCCAATGGGAACGGATTGTCATCGTAAAGCGAAAATTGCCACAGGAAGCGAAACGTTAAGCGAAACGTGGTTCCCAAGCGAAGACAGCAGTCTAACGAAACAGAGCCCATTAAAAGACTCGTATAGCGAAGCAAGACCAAGCTGTCAAAAACATCGTAAAGCGAAAAACAGGGACCTAAAATTTAACCGTCTTGCGAGGCAAGGTCCCTAACATCGTAAAGCGAAAATTGCCCATAGGAAACATCATTAAACGAAGCGCAAGATCGCTCCGAAAACCTCATCGTAAAGCGAATTCGTCGTTATGTGAAGCAATCGTCTTGCGAGGCACCACTGTACTGAAAATAAGTCCCATTAACATCTGGGTAACTAGCCACTGTCTGAATGTACATTTAATTCTAATACAGTGGGGTCTTGACTTGAGAACTTAATCCGTATTGGAAGGCGGTTCTCAAGTCAAAAAGTTCTCAAGTCAAATCTGCATTTCCCATAGGAATGCATTGAAAACCATTTAATCCGTATCTGCTCTTTTCCGTCCATAGAAACTAATGGGAAGCTGCTATTCTGCCTTCGACCACTAGAGGGGGGTATTTTGTTTCTTTTTTTCTTAGGTCAAGAAAGGTTCAGGGAAGGCAGGGAAAATACAGTCCAGGCAGTACAGTACCAGGCAGTCCGAAGACTGTCTCCCAATCCACTCTCTAAACGCTGGGAGGAGTGAGGGAGCAGACAGGCACCCTTTTCACTGGCCAACAGTTAACTGAAAGTTCACTTTTTGCACTTTCCCTGCCTCCCACGTGGGTTTTTTTCAGTTCTTAACTCAAATCTAAGTATGTAAGTCAAGTCAATATTTTCCTATGAGAGCGGTTCTTAAGTCAAAATGTTCTTAACTCAAGTCGTTCTTAAGTCAAGACCCCACTGTAGTTTAGGACCTCAATACCTGTCAGAACAAAACAACTATTTGTTCCACCTGCTCTTCACAGTCCATGATGTTAAGAATAGTGACCCTGTAGGCCAAAAGAGTGTGATTCTCAGTGTTGGCCCCGTTTCTTTGGAATAAACTTCCAATGGAGGTTCGACAGGCTCCTTCCCTCCAAATATTTAAGAATCAGGTATGGAATTTATATTTGAAGTATGTCTTTGTGAAAGGGAAAGGTCATAAGCCATCAGAAGAATCAATTTATTTTTGGAGTGGAATGGGGTGAAAAGGGATTAAAAGGGTATTTCTGGTCACCTAGTTCCGAGGGCAAGGTTGGCACAGGAGGGAAATTATAGGTGTATTGTTATACACATTTTATGTTAGTGTTGTCATTATTAACTTTCTTTAATAAAATTATTTTAAAAAAAGAAACAGGTGAAAACTAGACTTTAAAAAGTGGCTTTTATTAATGCTGACCTGGGATTTAAGTTATTTGACTGTTAATTTTTAAAAAAATCAGGTTTGCTTGTAGCAGTGGAAAAATTATTTGTTAGTTGATAATAGATTGTATATTTGTGTTGTACTGGATATTATTTGACTGGTTTTACTGTTGCAAACCACCCAGAGTGTGCTATGCACTCAGATTCAGGGCATCCTTCAAGAGAGACTATGGTAACGTGCTGTGAATAGAGGACTTGGAACAGTGTCTAGTGTGGCTGAGCAGGCCAATATGAGAGTGACCATCCCTTCCACACTGAAGACAAAACAATTTATCCCCTGTCCAGCTTCCTGATTTTCCTGGTTTTGGGACTGCCTCTTTGCCTTGCCCTGCTGAACAAGTGTCTTCAAAATGGGAGAGGCCATGATGCACCGCCTGCCTCCAGGCTGAATGCTCAGATGTCAATGTCCCATCTGTTGAGGTCCATTCCTAAGGCCTTCAGATCCCGCTTGCAGATATCCTTGTATCACAGCTGTGGTCTCCCTCTGGAGCGCTTTCCCTGCACTAATTCTCCATACAAGAAATCTTTTGGAATCCAACCATCAGTCATTCTCACGACATGCCTAAGCCAATGTAGTCATAGCTGCTTCAGTAATGTATACATTCTAAAAATTCCAGCTCATTCTAGGACTACTCTATTTGGAACATTGTCCTGCCAGGTGATACCAAAATGCGTCAGAGACAACGCATATGGAACATGCTCAATTTTCTCTCCTGCCGTGCACAAAGGGTCCAGGACTCACTGCAGTACAGGAGTGTGGCCAGGACACAGGCTCTATAGACCTGGACATTGGTATATACCGTCAGCTTCTTATTAAGTCATACTCTCTTTGTGAGTCTAGAGAACATGCTATCTGCTTTGCTAATGCGTTTATCCAGCTCGACATCTAGGGAGAGAGTGCCCAAGATCAGTGAGCCAAGGTACACAAAATCATGAACAACCTTCAATTCTTTTGTGGAGATGGTAATAGAGGGAGGTGAGTCCACGCCCTGGCCCATGACTTGTGTTTTCTTCAGGCTGATTGTTAATCCAAAGTCTTGGCAGGCCTTACTAAAACAATTCATGAGTTATTGGAGGTCTTCAGCAGAATGGACAACAACAGCTGCATCATCAGCGAAGTGGAATTCCGCATGCACTTCAGCTGGACTTTGGTCTTTGCTCTCAATCTAGAGAGATTGAAGAGCTTTCCATCTGATCTAGTCTGGAGATAGACACCTTCTGTTGCTATTCCAAAAGCGTGCTTCAGCATGATAGCAAAAATATCCGACACAGGGTCAACGTGAGGACACAGCCCTATTTCCCTCCACTTCGGATGTCAAATGGATCTGATGCTGAGCCGTCAAAAACTACGGTGCCCCTCATTTCCTCATGAAAGGACCTGATGATATTAAGGAGTCAAGGTGGACATCCAATTTTGGGAAGTATTTTAAAAAGGCCGTCCCTGCTAACCAAATCAAAGGGCTTCGTAGGATCTATGAAGGCCACAAAGAGTAGCTGTTGTTGTTCCCTACATTTCTCCTGCAACTATCTGAGGGAGAATACCATGTCAGTGGTGGATCTATTAGCTCGAAATCCACACTGTGATTCCGGATAGACTCTGTCTGCAAGCACCTGGAGTCTCTTCAACACAACACAGGCAAGCAGCTTCCCTACAATGCTGAGAAGAGAGATGCCACGGTAGTTATTGCAGCTGCCCCTGTCTCCTTTGTTCTTACACAATGTGATGATGTTTGCATCTTTCATGTCTTGTTGTACTCCACCTTCCCTCCCACCAAGACAAAAGATTTCATGCAGCTCAGTGGTGATGAACTCTTTACAGAACTTCGGCAGGGATATTATCCTTCCCAGGTGCCTTGCCTGAAGTGAGGGAATCCAAGGCTGCTTTTATTTCTGCTAAAGTTGGTTCGCTGCCCAATTCTTCTATGCACTATGGAAGCACTATGAGCTATGGTGTAGTATACAAGTTAAATGAATAAATAAATATATGCCTAAGATACTATTTTCATCTTCAGGATATAATGTCAATTTACTCATTCCGACTTTATTCCGATAGAGAGTTTATAATCTTTTGATATCTTATTGCCTAGAGCTGCCACAGTGGAGGCAATGTAGGGATGTCTACTTTGTAGGATGGGACACTGGTGGAGAGTGCACATTTCTTGCGGGTGACATTTCAAACAAATGTGGTGATCATGGCTCTTTGGGTGAAAGCCACAAAAATATAGTTTGCACATTAAAAAAAAAGGCTGGGCCTGGCATAGGTGGGATCCATTTGCTTTTTATATTATTTTCATGTAAGTTAACTAAAGCTCCTGGAAACCATGATCAAAAGCATATCTAATAGCTGTACCATGGGAGACATATGTTTATCTTGTTACACTGCATCATTCCTATTTACACTCTCATTATAATGGCTCTATATTAGCCTTATTAGGGCTTCCTTATTCTCACAGTAACCATGTGTAGACCTGCAAAAAGCAATTTAATTGTCTGAAAGTGCTTTGATTCCACTTTTCACTGTGTGGTGGATCCTTTCTGTGGAAAGCAGCACCTAGCAGTTCAAGCAGGAGCTTCTTTCAGTACTGAAATGCCTCCCTCCCTGTACACCTTTCTGGAGATCTCATGTTTCAAGAATCTGTTGCAGGCAAATGGACACAGGTAATCCATCCACTGAGGCTGCATCCAGAAGGGAGCTATGTATTTTCTGCACAGAGGGGCAGCACTTCTCTAGAAGGCAGCTGGACACCACGGCACGGTGGAGTCGTCAGGTAGCTAAGAATCATACCAGATCCAGAAATATTAGGCAATTGGTTTTCTCAGATGCTGTGATGAGAGAGGAAGTGTAGGCCCCACAGTTAAGAGAGCACATGCTCTACTATCACTCCTTACCAATCTATTCCCCTGTGGCTGTGGTGGAATCTCCCTTTAAGGCAAGGAATCATTGGCAAGAGAGTGCTGCTAGTGTTGTAAGGAACAAAACTGGCTCAAGAAGCCTCCTGATGTCCTCTACGGCAGTGGTTCCTAACCTTGGGCCTCCAGATGTTCTTGGACCACTACTCCCAGAAGCCTTCACCACCACCTCTGCTGGCCAGGATTTCTGGGAGTTGAAGTCCAAGAACATCTGGAGGCCCAAGGTTGGAGACCACTGCTCTACGGGACATGGGGGCAATCCCCTCAACATTCCTTGGGTGTCCCCCTCCCCCATTTTTTCAATTTTGTTGGGGGGGAAACGGCCACTTTAAAAGGGTAATTCTTTAAGTGAAAGGAAATCCCCCTTTTTTTCAAGAAATATTTGGGAGTGTATGGGTTATAGAAGCAGGGGAGATACGTCTCTGGAGATCAGCCACCCTTGGCCTGAGAAGCACCTTTTCTATTATGTGCATGCCTAAACAGATCAAAGCAAAATAATCAACACGACAATAGGAACTGGCAAGAGGTAGAGAAAGCATGGTGTCTTGCTACTCTTTCAGAACAAGCTGAGGACACAACGTGAAGGCAGTGTTTCATTCAACTGCCCAGTAACTCAGTATGATGACACACCCACTGCGTTTTAGTCACTTCAGATGCTCAGGAATCCTGTGGGTGTGCAATGGAGAGAGAAAAGGGGATACTGGCACTTGACAGCACCTACCTTGAAAGAATATTCTAGCCTGACAAGGAAGGGGAAGTTCACAGCCTGAAGGATGCGCTTTTCGTTGAGGGTATGCTCGATCTGCTTCAGCTTAACAACCTGCAAGACAGGGAAGAGGTTGGACAGAATCAGGGACACATTTCTCCTCCATCTGCAGCATCTATCCATGTGTGTGCCAAGACTCACTTTCTGCTTGTCAAGGATTTTCATGGCAAAGTAATTTCCAGTCTCCTTGTGCTTCACAAGCATCACCCGCCCGAAAGAGCCGGTACCCAGGGTCTTGAGCCGGTCGAAATGATCCAGGCTGGCTGTGTTCTGAAAAAGGAGAAAGGAAGCAGCAGAAGAAATACATGCGCATCACATTGTGCTCTATGTTTCAGGATGTAAGGAAGCATTTGAGTGGTCTGGGGTGGGGTCTGAATTAATCTGCCTGAAATATCAACCTTCAAGTAGCATCATGTCTACCCTGCCATATTAGAGCAGCAACTGTTCTAGAGGAGGCGATGATAGGGAGGTAGGAGATATTTAGTAAGATGTATGAATGTAGTTTTATATATATGTATATAGATGCTTTTAGTGTTTTTAGATTGATTTTATGTCTCCTAATTTAAATAATGTTCTTTACTTTTGCTGGTCAATGACCGTAATAAAACATTTATTATTATTATTTTAGAGGAGGGACTAATCTATGCTTGCTGCTGTCACCAACAGAATTTTTGGGACAAGGAACATAGTCAAGAATTCACCACCAGGGGTCGCAAAAGATGAGTTTTTACAGAGAGAGATACAGTTCAAAATCCTGTATGTCAGTAGGAAGAGAAAGGAACCTAACTTCACATGGAATGCTATCTGTTTATATTTAGCAAGGATGGTGAATATGTGCCCTGCAGATTCTGCTGAATTGCAACATGCATCAGCCATCACCAGCATGGCCAACACTAAGGGATGAGGAGAGCCACAGTCCAACAATCTGGAGGATGATATGTTCCCCATCTCTGAAATATAGCCACCAATACTCACCACATCATAATAAGTGGGAAGTAAACCACAATATATCTTCATTGTGGGTAGCACAAAAGTGTAAAAATAACCACACACCACCCTATAAATCACAATAGCTATAAAACATACCTAGAAATAACAGCCTATGTGTATAGGATAGATAATGTCACAGTTGACCGGCAACAAAAGGGGCAAGCCTGAGAACTGTAACATTCAAATTTCAGGGCTAATGATTTACACAACCATCCTATTGCTACTGAACTCTTATTTTAGTAGTTGTGATATAGGAGTGATTTGCTAAAACACTGTATGTGTGAGTAGAACAGCTGATAACACTGCAGAGAAGTAAATACTTGTTTAATGTTTTACACAGACTGCCAACCGTAGCAGTTTAAGTGGTCAGTTGAAGAATTTTGACTTCTTCCTCTAAGACATGGCCTGGGTTCTTGACTTGAATTATTTTGACAAAGTGTTATTATTTATTCCCATGTCATACAAGCATCCAGAAAGCTGGCAAACCTTGTGGTGCTTCTTACCCGCTGCATCCTCCACATTATCCGAGATCTGCTCCAAGCAACAGGTAAATTAATCCAAATATGGCTTTCTTACATCCAAATCATTCTGTTTATCCAACCTGTACACCCCAGTGACACTCAAATCACTTCCATAGAAAAGGCAAGTCAACTTAGCTGAATCATACCTCTGTAGAGGGGAAAGGACCTAAGGGTCATCAGATTCAATTTTCTGCCAAAACAAGAACTCCACAGCTAAACTAGCCCTGACAGATGGTCATCCACCTTTATTTAAAAACGCCTTGTGCAGGAGAGCCCACCGAGGGCTTTTAAAATCATCTATTCCACTGTGAAGCAACTCTTCAAGATGTTCTTCCTAAAGTCTAGTCAAAATCTCCTTTTCTATAATTTAAATCCATCAAGTATAAACTGGAGACTAGGTCATCTGTTTCAGAAACAGAGTCGCATCTTCCCTGGTATGGCAACATAGCCTGGGTGCAAGAGTCAAGACCTTCACTTGCGGTGTCTCCATTAGCAACTGGGGTTAGACTTCTGACAAGATCCTTCACAGGCTCCCTTAAAAGTGACACTGGTCTTATAAACCCCCAAGCCAAACAGAACCACCCAGAAACAAAAGAATATACCCAAAGGACCATCTATGTACCCAGCACTAAATCTAAACCAAGGCCCTGACTATACAACATGCACTTAAATCATGGATCCCTGTCAGCCCTAATTTAAATACAAAATGAACCCACTGGAAGTCACTGTTTATCTTGACACACTCCGTGTCACTTTCACACTAGGCCTAAGGGTTTCCAACAAGGATAGCAAGACCCAGAATGTGATTCTGAGATGACGCAGCAAAGGGGAATGACCAAGAAAGCAAGTGCATCACCATACCTGCGATGGGTTCTCCCATTTCTTGAGAAACTCTTCTTTGGCTTTGGCAAGAAACTCCTTCACTGCAAGCAAGCACAGGCAGGGAAACAGCATTAACAGGAAGGAATGATGTTTTGAAGACCTGAGCTGCTGAGTACTCTTTGGGAGTCAGAAGGGGCTTCACTAGGAAACATCCCTTAAAATCCTGCCTCCTCAGTTCCTTTGGCAGTGGTGTCGAACTGTGGCCCTCCAGATGTTCTTGGACTTCAACTCCCAGAAGCCTTCACCACCACCTCTGCTGGCCAGGATTTCTGGGCGTTGAAGGCCAAGAACATCTGGAGGGCCACAGTTCATGTTCTTGGACTTCAACTCCCAGAAGCCTTCACCACCACCTCTGCTGGCCAGGATTTCTGGGAGTTGAAGGCCAAGAACATCTGGAGGGCCACAGTTCGACACCACTGCGAGGTATCACCAAGGATTCAGTTCAAGTAGAGAGACACGATATTAGAACTGCCAATAGGGGTAAGTACCTAAGTCGGTGGTTCCCAACCTTGGGTCTCCAGATGTTCTTGGATTACAACTCCCAGAAATCCTGGCCAGCACAGCTAGTGGTGAAGTGGTTATAATCCTAGCGGCACAGAAGTCACACAACCAAACTCAGGGATTTGGTTTCAGCAATGAAGCTCTAGAGATTATGACACACCCACTGTTGGCCTGTTTTTGGGAACAGATAGGGAAATCTATACAGCCACTGGAATAAGGAAAGCAGTCAATCACAACTGCTCAACCTGAATCAGCTTTCCAGCATGCTGTTTATCTGGCAGGTCAAAACACCAATAACCCCTAGAGCCCACAATGGTATCCTAGCCATTTACAGTGGTGCCTCGCTTAACGAGTGCCTCGCTGAGCGATGAAATCGCTTAACGAGGCACTCTGGGCCATCGCTGGAGCATTTGCTCAGCGATGGCCCCTATGGCGATTTTTCGCTGTGCGATGATCGCTAAGCGATTCGCTTAGCGATTTTTG